TCAAAATGCCAAAATTTCTAACAATGTTAATTTAAAAAACCAAATAGCAAAGGACCATTATTATGAATAGATAGGGAGACTTTTTGAGACTATTTTGCATGGTTTGACTCTCCTTATTCATAATTTCAATATGTAACTCTGGAATAAATTGGGCATTTTTGTAAGTCACATTAAGTATTTCAGGGGAAAAAAAGGTAAGAAGAATAATTCAGGAATTCTAGTATGTATGTATGTTTGTATTTATTTTAAATCTTATCTTGAATCAATCATACTTTATATGCAATATAACTTAAACTCTAATAGGTTTTAGTGTGTGTACAAAATGAGAATTTTCTGATTATTCAGATATTAAAGTTAATAAATTCAAATACATATTGATTCCAAATTAAAATTTTAAAGTTTTATTTATTTTAATGTCTTTACAAAAATATAGAGCACTCTAACTTATGAATATAAATGCAGAAATCCTAAATATTTTTAGGCATTATTTACCGTTAATGATGTTGAGTTTATTCTAAGAATGCAAGCATAGATTCTAATTAACCTCTTAACCTGTAACATAATTTATCAACTCAAGAGGTCAAAAAATTAAATCAAAACATTTAATAAAATTGACAATGTATTTCTCATTTTTTTATATAAAAGCATTGTTTATTTTGGAATAGAGATTTCTTTTCTTAAACGATAAAGATTATCTACTTGAAATCAATAGTCAGCATCATTATAAAAGTTGTAACATTAAAGACATTTTGATTAAATTCAGAAATAATGCAAATTTGCATACCATCACAACTGTGCCATATATATTAACTATTGTGCTGAAAATTTGGGCCGGTAAAGTAGAAGAAAATAAAATATAAGTACATATTAATAGTTGTAAACTAAATCGTCACTATTTTACAGGCAAAAGAAAAATGTACCTAATATATAAGATAGTTAAAATCAGTAAGAAAAAATGAATAGGCAAAATAAAAATGAACAGTTTCCTCAGAAAAGATTATATTTGACAAAGAACCAGATGAAAAACGTGTTTTGGTTACTGGTAACCAAAACAATACATACTAAAACAGTGATAAATAGTCTTCTAAAATCAAAATATTGAAGAGATAATCATAGGTTTAAATTGAGCAGAACATAAAAAAAATGGACAGTCTCAGATATTGCTGATGGATCTATAAACAAATTTAATTTCTGTGGAAGGAATTCGGCTATATTTTAAAAAAATCTTTAAAAATATTTCCACCCTTTTATAATGTAATTTCATCGCTTATAATTCTCATAAGGAAATATTCAGCTATGTCCAAACAAAAGGAAAAAACTAGAAAAAGCAAAATGTTTCTTCAGTAGTTGCAGAAGGGCTAAATAAGTTATTTATGAATAAAATGAGAAATAATGCAGTAAAGTTCATGATATTTAATCATATAGGGCTATGTATTTGTGTGTATTCCCAATTTTGAAAAAATATACACATATACAAGTTTTGGAAGAAATTGTCTCATTAAAATATTTTGGCTTACCAGTTTGCAGTTGAATTATCAGTTATTTTTATTTTCTAATTCATTTATTTGTCTTATAAAAAGTATAGTATTACTTTAATTATGCTAAAATTTTAACTCAGTTCAGGTCAATAGTTACTTAAAATTTTGCTTTGTCCATAAATTGAATTTATATTAGAAAATTTAAAATCTTTAATGTTTAAAAATATTTCCAGCTTTAATTGAATTGTCCCAGTACATAACAAGTCTCTTATGTGACTTAGTAAGGTTTTCTTTGGTTACACAGGCAGTCCATTCTTTGCACAGTTCTAATCTGCATGAATTTCAGTTACTATAGTTTAGTTAAATAACACCAATCCTCCAACAACATTGTTCAAATATTGGTTATCATGGTATATTAGCTGTGAGTAATTGCATAAAACACAGATTTTGTTGCTGGCCCTTCAGTCCACAGATTACTACATAAATAACAGATGTGCATCTTGTTCAGTGACCAATCATGTCTCTTCTCTCAAAATCTGTTGGTGGCTAGTCCGTGCACATCCCTTATCCAGTTCATTCACAAAGAAGCCTGTAGCTGTGTTGCCTCCTTGTCTGTCAGTGGTAAACCCATGCGACATCTTACAAACATGAATATTCAAAAAGAGGAATTGGCCAACAAAGATGAAAGTGCTGCAAAGAAAGAAAGTGCTAGAAGTGAAATTCCAATTGAACTTTTCTTCTTATAGAAGAAACAGCTGATTACTGCCACTATTTGGGAAACTTTATATTTGCAGCCAGAGCAACACCATGAAGGCAAGCTCAACATAAATGAGGATGGTAATTGTGATAATAGGGTACAGATATCCTAGAGGAAGCGATGCCAACAAAACCTTTACATGAAAGGGATTCTCAGAGGTATTTCACGACACTGAAAGCACAAAGGTTAAAATGATGGAAGCTGATCTGTACTTAGAAAGGAATATGAGAATTCACCAAGGCATAGAAAAGATGCTTGCTCAGTATGGAAAGTTCCAGGAAAAGAGAGGAAGCACTCTTCCAGCTGCTCAATCAGGTTTTTAACAAAAAATAAAATAATTTAGTTCTCAAAGTTTCTAATCTTAAATTACAGCCTGCTATATGTTAGTTTTACGATTTTTAAATTTCCCTTTACATTTACAATGGACAGTAAGGAAATTTTTAAAGTTTTACCTTTACTTATTCCTTCCTCGATGCTCTTTCTTTATGTAGATCTGAGTTTCTGACCTCTAGTATTTTCCTTCCTCTAAAGAACTTGTTTTAACATTTCTTGCAAGGCAGGTCTACTGGCAACAAATTTCTTCAATTTTTGTCTGTCTGAAAAAGTATTTCTCCTTCACTTTTGAAGGATGATTTTGCATGGTGCAGAATTCTAGGTTGGTGTTTTTTCTCTCTCAACACTTTAGGTCTTTCACTCTACTCTCTTCTTGCTTGCATGATTTCTAAGGAGAAGCTGGATGTAATTCTTATCTTTGTTTCTCTATAGGTAAGATGTTTTTGAATTCTGGCTTCTTTGGGGATTTTTTTTCTTTATCTTTGATTTTCTGTCATTTGAAAATGGTTTGTCTTCGTGTAGTTTTTTTAGCATTTAACCTGCTTGGTGTTCTCTGAGCTTCCTGGATCTGTGGTTTAGTGTCTGACATTAAATTGGGGAGAGTCTCAGTTGTTATTGTTTCAGATATTTCTCCTGTTCCTTTTTCTCTTTCTCCCCCTGCTGGTATTCCTGTCATGTGTATGTTTTAGACTTTGTAGTTGTCCCACAGTCCTTGGACTTTTTGTTTTGTTTTTTCAGTCTTGAGAATTCTATTGATCTATCATCTAGTTCAGAGATTCTTTCGTCAGCCACATCCAGTCTACTAATAAGCCCATCAATGGTATTCTTCATTTCTGTTACAGTATGTTTGATCTCTAGCATTTCTTTTTGGTTCTTTCTTAGGATTTCCATCTCTCTGCTTACATTGCTCATCTGTTCTTGCGTGCTATCTTCTTTATCCCTTAGAGCCATTAGCATATTAATCATAGTTATTTCAAACTCATAGTTATTTTAAATTTAATTTCAACATCCCTGCCATGCCTGGTTCCAATGCTTACTCTGTCTCTTCAGATTATATTTTTTGTCTTTCGGTATGCCTTGTAATTTTTTCTTGATAGCCAGACATAATGTGCCTGGTAAAAAGAACTGTTGTCAATAAGCCTTTAGTAACATGGTGGTGAGGTGTGGAGTAAGCATTCTATAGCCTTATGTAGCCTATGCCTCTGGACTGTGAACTACACAGTTGCTTTTCAGTTTTTCTCCTCTCATAGGTGGGCAGGATGGCTAGAGTGGGCTGGAGTTGGATATTTCCCTTCTGCAGGTCAGTTAGGCTCTGATAGTACCCCAGCAGGTTAGGGTCTGGCTAACTAGTTTCTCCTGAGGACAGTATTGTTAGGAAGAACAGAGTGTTCTAATATATTTCCAAATGATTCCTTTCCCCTCCCCCTGCTAGAAGCTCGATGAAATTGTTTTTCTGATATTTACTGTGACAAGTTGGTCAAGCTTCTGGAAGTAAATCTCATGAAATTGTGGGATCCTCCTTAAAACTAGGTCCCCCTGGAGTTTTCAAATCTCAGATTTGTCCATACTGAACTTCCAGTAGTTCATCAATTACACTTCAGGATTTTCTACCCCAGCACTAGTTCTCACAGAGGCTTCTGCTCGTGAGTCTCTGCTCCTATAGCTGGGACTTCCTGTATTTTCCTGTCTGTCTCTCCAATCTTGAGGGCAGCAATTTGCCCTATGTTTCCCCTCTCTTATGGATACAAGAAGAGTTGTTGATTTTTCAGTCTGTTCAGCTTTTTACTTGTTGTTAGGATGGAGCGGTGACTTCCAAACTCTTTACCTGTGGAACTGGAAACTGGAAGTCAAGTTTTTAACGTTGTGACAAAAAAAAATTTAAAGGTCAGCAAACAGTAGTAACTTTTCCCATTGATTGTTTAAAATCTCTTTGTATGGTTTCAGCTTACATGGTTACTTTTACGATTCCACGCTACTATGCCTGTAATATGCTAATTTCTGATTTATAAAACAGTTTTCAAAATACAGTAGTTGCAGACTTTGTTTCATTTTGTTTTGTTTGCTTGGTGAGGAAGACTGGCCCTGAGCTAACATCTGTTGCCAATCTTCCTCACTTTTTGCTTGAGGAAGAGTGGCCCTGAGCTCACATCTGTGCTGATCTTCCTCTACTTTGTATGTGAGATGTGCCACAGCATGGCTTGATAAGCAGTGTGTAAGTCTGTGCCCAGGATCCAAACCCACGAACCCTGGGCCAGTAAAGTGGAGCATGCAAACTTAACCGCTGTGCCACTGTGCCAGGCTTGTATAGTTGCTGGCTTTTAGCTCTTTGATATTGGCTTTACATCTAATGAAAGTGCCTGATATGTAAATGAAAAGAAAAAAATCGCAGCTTTACATTTCTTTCTGGTTCTGATATCACTTTATTGTTCTAGTGTGACCACTGCTTGCCTCTTTATAATGACAAGCCTTTCCGCCAAGGTGATCAAGTTCACGCTTTCAACTGTAAACCTTGTCAATGCAACAGCCATTCCAGAAGCTGCCACTATGACATCTCAGTGGACCCGTTTCCATTTGAGCACCACAGAGGGGGTGGAGGAGTTTGTGATGATTGTGAGCATAACACTACAGGTAACTGGCAAACAATACAAATAACATGAATAACAAAGACTGACTTGGCTTTTGAGGCCCATTTACTTCTATATACAATGCATATTATTTTAAATTATTTTTATTTCTATCTTATTTAAGAAAGTCCTTTCACGCTGTTAAGTTTGAAAACCAAATCCAGTTCATCAGATCTTCATAATTCCAAATAATTAAGTAGTTTTCAGAAATAGCACTCTAGTCTTAGACTGTATCTTTTAAGAAAGAGGATTTTTCTTTAAAGTTCATACCGTTTGATTAAACTATGAATATATTTTGGATAACTCAAGAATTACTAGCTTCAGTATATACATATATATATATCTCCTTAAAATAACTTTCCTTGTGTGACCCTGATCTTTCATTATGTCTCGATCCTCATGTGGAGATGTTTATATGCATTCAGATTTGGCATGGACCCTGGTAATCTGGGAATACTTTTTTTAAAAATGCTAATTAAAGGCAAATGATGATTATCAGTCTTGTTCTAAAACGATGCAGCATTTTGACTAGCTGTTGAAAATTACTATTTTCTGAAGAGCTGGTATGTTAAAAACAGAAATAAACACCAGAATTTGTAAAATATAATGGCCCAAGTCTAATGAGTTTGAAAGTGTGCCACTCTTAAGTGTGAATGGATTTATTAGATAACTATTGATGACCTAAGAAGTCACAAGAACTTGACTAGGTGCTGAAAATCTAAAGATAAACAAGATAATGAATTTTCTGGTCTTTGTATGGATTTTTGCATGGTGGAAAAGATGTACTATTAAAGGAAAAATTACAAAGTTATCTTATGAGTGCTAAGATAGGACAAGTATAGCAAGAGTTAAGCAGATGAAGGAGTGAGAGGGAGCGGGGGTAGGGAATCAAACAAAGGTTTCCAGTAAGAAAACAGTTGTGCAATGGCCTAGAGGAGAGAGAAACAAGGTACCTTTGAAAAACTGATGGAAAGGCAAATGGCTGATTATAAGAAAAGGTGCTAGGAATGAAGGAGGGGCCAGATTGTAGAAAGTTCTATAAACCATGATAAAGAGTTTGGATTCTATCCTAAGATTAATGAGATAACACTTAAGGGTTTTATACAGGAAAAGGATATAATAAGTTTTGTGTTTTTACAAGACTCATCTGATTATAAAGTGGAGAATGGATTGGAGAGTGTCAAAAGTGGTTTGGGAAAATCAGTTAGAAGGATGCTACAGTAGTCCAGTTAGGAAATAATGCTGGAGTACATTTAAGGTGGTGTAGATAGAGAGTAGCGGATCCAAGAGATGTTTAGGATGGAAACTGACAGCATTTTCTGAGCAAGGTATGGGTATAGGTAAGGGAAGGAAGAAAAGTCAAGACTCATGCTTAAGGTTCCAGTTTGAGTAACAGGGTCAACGTTGGTGCCAGCCATTGAGACAGAAACACAGGAGGATCAAGCTAAGGGAGAAAATGGCAAGTTCTATTCTGGACATGCTCGCTGAGTGTTTCCAAGAAGCACAGGAGAAAATCTCTTGTGGGCAGTTGGAAACCATTCTGAAGCTCCTTTCTTTTGCAAAGAGCTTTTTTGTGATGCCTCAGGAAAGGTCATTATGATCTATACACTTTGGTGTCACCTTATGTTTATTACAGTTTGTAAATGTACATTTATCCATGTAGTTATTTAATTAAGATTCATCTTACCCACTAGACTTCAGGAAAGCTCTGTGAGAGGGTGCAATGTGTATTTTGCTCACTACTGTATTCCTCATCACTTAGCACAGTGATTGGAACATGGTAATCACCGAATAAATATTCATTGAATAATAAATAAGGAGAGGTTTCTAGATTGGAGATAGAGAGTTGAGAGTCAGCAGCATATGTAAAGGGAATATTCTAGAAATATTATAAATCCATTTAAGTTTTAATTAGTCCATAGCCAATATCCATCAGAATGTGGGTTTTCTCTTGAGATTAAGTTATTTCTAGTCTTCGAATAATGGACCAATTTCAGTAATAGTCAAGTAGTTGCATAATGTTTAAAGGGGAATTTGCTAGCCTTGAGTAGCATTTCAGCTTATTTCAGTGGTCTTAAATGCTATTCACATTAACTTTAGAAACTCCTTGTAGTTTAGGTTGTTTCTTATATAAAATGGCGTGGGAAATTTTCTGATTAATAAATTATAATAAATTAATTATATAATCAATAAGCTATAGGAATTACCTAATATTTCTAATACGTCAGGCTATTCTAATATTTAAAATTTGATATATCTAGATATAATACGTTTCTATTTTGATATTTGAAATGAAAAATAATGGCCATAAGCACTAACAGAAGCATCTGCTTTTATTCATGTTAGCTATGGAATAATAAATTGCATCAAGAGCAGTCTTCTATTTTACAAGAGTTAGTTCTGGAAAAATATTTCTAATATTACATACTTACTTGCTCCTAACTGTGCAACTGCCATCTACTACACATATAGAAATTTCTCACATTTGATTTAGATTAAGTGCCTGACCCTAGAAATAAAGAAAACTTTTAAGTTTAGAAACAAACTCTTCCAAAATGGATGGTCTTCTACAAAGCACCGCTTTTTAGAAGTGTGGTGTTATATAACAGATGGGAGTTTAATGAAGTAAAGCACAGTTTGTAACAGGTTCATTGTTTCATATGCTCTGGATCACTAAATTGGCAGGTAGAGATGAAAGGTGCATTAAAATGGACGTCCCGAAAATTATAGAATTCCCTCAAAGGAATACGGTCTTTAATTTTGAATTATGCAGCTGATTTTAATGAATTGGAAGTCATAATGCATAACCTTTCCCTGATGCAGGAAAGAACTGCGAGCTGTGTAAGGATTACTTTTTCCGACAAGTTGGTGCGGATCCTTCAGCCATAGATGTTTGCAAACCCTGTGATTGTGATAAAGCTGGCACTAGAAACAGAAGCCTCCTTTGTGATCAGGTGAGTTCTCAGTATTGAAGGTGAAGAATTGCTCTCTTTCAGAAACTAATCTAGGAAATGTCCTGCTAGTGGAATTGAGGACTTTATTCACAGCAAATCCTCTGTGTGTGTTTACGTTTCAAAGAGATGGCCGCTTTAGGAGTGTTCCTGTGCAATTTTTAATATGAGCATGAAATGTAAGGCTACTTAGGTGGTCTTTTACATATAAGAAAGGCTGTATTTATTTTTAATCTTACAAATGACAAAAAAATTGCGATGTAGGGGATTCTAAGTAAACTGGGAGATGAATTTATGTCTTGGAACTATTGGTGAATTAATATTAATAAATGATATTAGTTAAACAAGGATAGTTTTCCTCCCAACTCCACAGAAGAGATTGTAGCCAAATTTACTTACACATAGATCCAAATGGAAATTATGATAGCCCTACTTCTAAATTTCTTATTCCAACCTTCTATCTATCTTAGCGGTACAATGGATTTTTATAATTGTATACATTTTTATTACCAACATCACAAATATTGATGTCTGACCTACATGAGTACAGATTCTAATTAACCAGGGTGCATATATCCTATCTCAAGTCAGAAAAAGCAGCTCCATATTTAAATGTGGTGTCTTCAGGTGGAGATTTGTACCTGTTCAGATAATACTAATACATGAAAATGGATAAAGGGCAAGTTTACTTTGACGAACCAATTCAATGATTGTATTAATTTTTAATAATTACATATTCTCTTGTAAATAATTGAGAATGTAGTGGCTAGGAGCACAAGCCACAACCCAATTAAAGAAAAAACTTTTTAAAAGTTACAGAGTGAAGAAAATAAGTTCAAGGCAAAATATGTTTGTCATGTAATATTCAGCATGTGTTAAAAACTGCTTTAAAAAATAAAAGCCAACTATAAACAAGGCCAAAATATGGATTTCAAGACCTTCAGAGTGACCATAGTGTATTAATAAAAGAACATTATGTGCTTCTTTGGAAAGCTCAAGAGTGGAAAAATAATTAAAGGCAATTTCTACTGTTTTTATTTTAGGATATTGAGGAATTATTTTCTCAGAAAGTCATATTACAATTTTACACATTTCAGTCAGTAAAATCTAACTATGTCTTTACACAACTCATCTTTGCACATTTGTACTGAATTTTCAGCATGGTTCTCTTTTGCTTGTTATTTAAGTCTCAGCTCAAAGATTGATATATCTTTTGAGATGTCTTCAACTAACCACCCAATTGCAGAACATTCTCAAATCACTGTCATTTACATCTCCTTCTGTTGTTTTCATTACAGCCTTTGTAAAATTAATTTATTTGTTTACTCCTTTGTCTTCTCTCTGTCCAACATAAGAAGAACAATTTCAGTCGTATGTTAAACACCCAATAAATATTTATTAAATAAATGTTGGGTGAATGAAGAGAGACCCTGTCTGAGGGCAATCTCATTGTCAGATGGTCATTTGGAATAATTATTATAATAATAGCATTAAGTAAAATTTTCACTTACGTAAGAGTTTTCCTCCCTGACGATCTAAGATCAAGTAAATTTGGTATATAGTTTTTCAATATTATATACCAAAACTATGAAGTAAAGGTCTACCTCCCAAAGGCTCATTTCTATGTCATAACCAATATGAAGTGAAGTGCTGCAGATTTGTGTCTCAGTTCCACAACCCACGTATGCAAGAAATTTAAACCTATTTTTCTAAAATTTCTAATTCAGGTCCATTTCATTGGGGTGGGAGACAGTTTGGGGTAGTTCTGTGCTTGTAAATATTTAATAACTGGGTATCTTGGAGGAAAAAAGAAAAGCTCACTATGGTCAATGTCAAACTACCAATGAGATGTCATCAACATGGAGTTGGGACAAAATGCACTTAATATAGATGCAATATAAATGCAATCTATATAGAATATAGAATATAGATTGCTCCAGCACACCACTTGCTCTGGTCCTCTTTCTCCATCTGTCACAGGATGGATCTAATTTGGGGGTGGAATTGTAGATGAGTGTACCCAGAGCAAAGACATTTGAGAGAGTGTGGACTCTTTGGCCCTTGAAATCATCAAAACATACAGGCATCCTTTGAGATCTCCTTGAAACAGGTATTCCTCTCCCTCTTAATGAGGGAGGTGTTCTCAGAGGCCTAGCATGGAATCAGAACTCTGAGCCCTGCCCAGAGGCAACAAGATAACTCACCCCTACTGGGTTAATGGACACAGAGTGGAGAACCTGGACTTCCACTCCAACCTGGCAATAGTAAGGCAGCATCCTCCTTTTACACCTGGAAGATTTTTGGAGGAGCCCTGCTAAAACAAAATATCTAAATAAGATTTAGTGTCTCATAACACCAAAATGTCCAGGTTCCAATAAAAAGTCACTTATCATGACAAGAACTAGGATGATTTAAAATGGAGTGAAAAAAGACAATCATCCATCATTTGATGTACCAGCATCAAAATGACATAGATGTTAGAATTATTATTCAGGGATTTTAAAGGAGTTTAAACATTCTGCAAAAAAAAGAAGCACACACTTGAAACATGAAAAAATAAAAAGTCTCAGCAAAGCAATAGAAGGTGTAAAAAAAGAACTAAGTGCAAATTTTAGAATTAAAAAACTGCAATTACCAAAATAAAAAACATAACTCAATGGATAGAATTAATGAGTGGGCAGAATGGGAAGAATGGGCAGAATGGAGGGGAAAAGGAAAGGATCAATGAATTTGAAGGAAGAACGGTAGAAATGACCCAATCTGAACATCAAAAAGAAAACAAACTGAAAAAAATGAGCAGAGCATCAGAGACTTGTGGGAGTATAACAAAAGATCTAACTTTTGTGGCATTAGAGTCTAGAAAGAGAAGAAAGAGGATGGGGGTAAAAAAGCATTTGAAGAAATAATGGACAAAAATTCCCAAGTTTCACAAAAACCCCAAACTTATAGATTCAAGAAGCTGAATGAACCCTTCACAATATAAACTTTCACAATATAAACCCAAAGAAACCCACTCCAAGCACATTACAGCTGAACTTCTGAAAACTAAAAACAAAGAAAAAAATCTTAAAGGCAGTTAGAGAAAAGTAACATATCATCTATAGGAGAAAAGAAATTTGAATGACAGCAGATTTCTCATCAGAAACCATGAAGGTCAGGAGGAAGTGGCAAAATATTTTTTAAGTCCTGAAAAAAGAGAATTCTAACACAGAGTTCTATATTCAGTGAAAATATCCTTCAATAGTATAGAGCAAATCAAGACGTCTTCAGAAAAAGGAAAACTAAGAATTTCTCTCCAGCAGACCTACTATAAATATTGGCCAAAGGAACTTCTCTAAACCAAAAGGAAATGACAAATGAAGGAATCTTGAAATATCAGAAAGTAATAAAAAACATCAGAGCTAAAATATGGGTAAATACCATACACTTTCTTCTCTTGAGTTTTCTAAATTATGTTTGATGGTTGAAGCAAAAATTATGTCACTATATAATGTGGTTCTCAATATATTGGAGGAGATATTTAAGACAATTATATTAAAAATGGAGAAGGTAAAAAGCATGTAAGGGGAAGCAATTTTTCTATACCTAACTGAAACTGGTAAAATAAAAAACCAGCAGACTTTGGTATATTATCTGTATATATAATGTAATATCCAGAGCAACTACTAAAAAGGCAATAAAATGATGTATTCAAAAACACTGCAGATAAATCAAAGTTGACTTCTAAAATATGTAACCCACGAGAATACAGAAAAAAAGTAAATGAAATGAAAAACAGAACAAACAAAAAATGAAAAATAAGATAGTAGACTTATTAAACCTTAACATATCAATACTGATGTTAAATGTAAATGGTCCAATAAACCATTAAAATACAGAAACTGGCAAAATAGATTTAAAAAATCATGATCCACCATCTGCTGTCTATAAAAAATTCACTTCAAGTATAATAATATATGTAGTCTGGACATAAAAAAAGATAGAAAAACTTATACCATAAAGAAATTAATCAAAAGAAAGCAAGAGTTGAGCCAGCCCTGATGGTCTAGTGGTTAACATTCAGCGTGCTCCTACTCAGTGGCCCAAGTTCAGTTCCTGGGTGCAGAACCACGTTGCTCATCTGTCACCAGCCATGCTGGGGTGGCAGTTTACATAGAAGAACTATAGAGAGTTACAACTAAAACATACAACTATGTTCTGGGACTTTGGGGAGAAAAAAAGGAAGATTGGCTCAGGACCAATCTTTAAAAAGAGAAAAATAAAAGAATGCAAGAAGGACTGTAATATCAGATAATGTAGAGTACAGACCAAACAAAATTTCCCTAGACAGAGAGATATATTACACAATGATGAAAGGATCAATCAAGCAGAAGATATAGAAAACCTAAATGTATATGCACCAAACAGCAGAGCTGCAAAATATGTTAAGAAAAACTGATATACCTGAGACAGCAAATAGAAAAAGCAGAAATAGAAACTTCAGTATACGCCTCAACAGTTGGTAGAACAACAGAAAATCATCAAGGATATAGAACTCAACAACGTCTTCAACCACCAAGATCTATTCGACATTTAATGAACAGACCACTCAACAACAGCAGGATACACATATACAATACACTTATACCAAGACAGACAATATCCTGGGACATAAAGCAAACCTCAATAAATTTCAAAGAACTGAAACTATACAGAGTATGTTCTTTTATCACAATAGAATCAAAGTAGAAATCAATAACAGGTAAACAAAAAATTTCCAATTACTTGGAAACCAAACAACACACTTCTAAATTATTCATGAGTCAAAGAGGAAGTCTCAAAAAATTTAAAAAGACAGTTAACTAAACGAGGATAAAAATATTAAAATTTGTGGATGCAGGTAAGGCAGTGATGCAAGAGAAGTTTATATGACTGTGTTTACTTTAGGAAAGAGAAAACATCTCAGATCAACCTTATGAACTCCCACTTCAAGAAATAACGAAAAAAAGAGCAAAATAATCTCA